GAGGAAAGGAAGGGAGGCTGAGTGGTAGAGGGAAAGTCATTTCGGCTCATCCAGGAGTGGGTCACAAAAGGACACAACCCACCGAAGGACTCGTTGCATTGACCTAGCCGTTTTGACTCAGTGGGTAAAACATCAGCCTGTGGACTAAAGGGTCCCAGGTTCGATGCTTGTCAAGGGCACATGCCTGGGATGCAGGCTTGATCCCCAGTGCGAGCATACAGGAGGCAGCTGATCAGTGATTCTCTCTCATCATTGATATTTCTCTCTCTTCCTCTCTGAAATCAATAAAAATATTTTTTTAAAAATAAAAGGCATCAAATTATATGAACCACTAGCCAATTCAGCCCTAAACATAGTGAGTGCCAAGATGTATGTGGTAAGTTTAAAGAATTATAAAAAACCTTGTTCTCTTCTAGTTTGGGGTCAGGGACGAAGGGGACTGTATGCAGTATCCCTACACCACCCCACCCCACGCATCCACACGCTGCCCTCAGAAGAGCAACAAGTGGTTTTCCCAAGGATCTAGGTTTCTCCAAATGTTTCTTCCAAGACTAACTGGAATTTTGTTAGTGTCTCCGTACTGTTTGCCTAGAACCAGGAAGTAAGAAAATGCCTCCTAAACCTTCCAACTTAACCTAAATACAGGTCCCAGGGAGTTTAGTGCAGGTGAGCAACCCTGGAGGTGCCCGAAGTCGTCCCCAAGAAGGGCTCAGCGTGGGGTCTGCAGGCTTTAGGAAAGGGGGCATTTCCAGATCCTTTTCTACCAATAGAGTCATCTGTCTGGGCATGGAGGCAGAAATCGGCAGTGAGATGACGTGTAAAAGAAGCTGACCTCCACAACATTCTCCAAAGATGCATTCTGGAAAGGCAGTGTGGGGTAGCCAAGTGAACAGACAGGCGGGTCCTGCCAGAGCATTGGCGGAGGGAGGGGTGGGAGGGGTGCAGTTGGGTGCTTCAGGGCATCTCTGAGGCGACACCCGTGGCTGGGAGGCAGGGTCAGTTTGTCCACTTTCTGCCGAGCGCTGAAATGAACAGGTGTTGATCACGGTGGCACCGGAAGCGGCTTTGAGTAGAGAGCAGATCCCACAGGTGCGTGGTCACCTGCAGATGGTGGCACGCGTGAGCTCGGACACACCCGCTTGAGTTGTGCTAATGGAATTAAGGGCAACTCTAGATAATGAGGAGCCACCTTCCTAACCTCAGAAGGAGCAGCTGTTCCTCGGAGGCCCATGCGCTCTGTTCACGTTCGGTTCCAGGTCCCACTCTGAGGAGCAGTGGGACCAGGCAGAGCAGGTCCTCCCCGCCCCCACCTCTGCTGCCTTCTGAGGCTGACTTTCCTCATCGGTAAAATTAGGGCACTGATACCTGTCCTAGAGCAAAGTAAGAAGTAAGGGAGATGACATGGGAAATGCCTGGGACATCGCCTGCTGTGAGAGGCCGCTGTCCCTCCCGTCTCCTGGCGTGGCCCTTTCATCTGTGTGAGTGCCCTTTCCCACAGGGACGGTGAGGCTCTCTGAGCTCAAGTCAACAGCTCAGCATTCCAGGCCCGGCAAGGCCACCGTGGCCCTGCCCGACGACATCATCACCCAGCGGGAAGATGCCCAGCAGGCTGCGGGCGCTGGGCGCATGAGCGAGCAGGAGCAGGAGGAGCAGGAGGAGCAGGAGGCCGCGGTCCCGGAAGGCCAGCCGAGGAGACGCAAGCCAGCCAGGCTGCCCGAGGCGGCGGCGAAGGCGGAGCCAGAGGAGAAGTTCCGTGGAAAGAGGCAGAAGGACTTTGATATATCCGAACAAACCGCATCAAGCGACGAAGAGAGCCAGAGGAAAGAGAGAAGCCGCACTGCAGAGGAGCCATGGACTCAGAATCAGCAGAAACTTCTGGAATTAGCATTACAGCAATACCCAAAGGGATCCTCTGACCGCTGGGACAAGATCGCCAAATGCGTCCCGTCTAAGAGTAAGGTAGGTGAGGCGGGGAAAGGTGTGAGAGCCACCGCAGTGACCGCAGCCAGCTCTGCCCCGTCTTGGTCACAGCCGCTGTCTGCAGCAGTCTGAGTGGGCCATTACACAGACCAGGTAGTTTTCCTGAGAAAATTCCAGGCATGGAACAGAAATGTCACCCTCGGTCACCCCGCCAGCCTCTGGAGCATTTGCTCTCCCAGGTGGCAGCTCCCTCTAAGCAGAGTGAGGAGGTTTCTCAAAATCACGGGCCCCCCCGAGCTCTGTGACGAGCCTTTATCCAAGGGTCTGTGTGGTCCCAGCTCTGCATGTGGCTCTGGACTCAGCAGTAGCACGCAGCGGACCGAGACCCTGGAGGCATGTTTGTATGTGGGGTCAGTGTGAGGAGGACATTTAGGGCTCAGCTTACCCTCTGTAGCCTTGACTTTTATCCAGACTTTCCTCCCCATTTAGTGTCTGCTTCCATGCATCTGCAGACAGGCCTCAGGTTAAAACTCAGACAGACGGGAAGACGGTGTTCCCGGGGAACGCCAGCCCCACCCTGTGCCCTCTGCTCGGCTGGTGGATCTCCTCTCCGTGTGTCCCTCCTGCTCTGCCCTGGCCCCACACTGTCTCCAGGCTTCTGTCCTTGCAGCCGTGCTCTTCTGCCCGAGGCACTGGGAACACTGAGAAATCAAAGAACCAATCTCTTCTGCCTTCTGTGCCTTTTACTCAGTAGCCTCTGGGCACATTGATATTCATTTACATTCTTATTTTTTTAATTGAAATTCTATGTTGGACAATCTAGCTTGTGGCCATGAATGCCCCCAGGTGTACAGGTCTAGTTATCTATCACCTACTTTAAAATGGAGTCAAGGTTTCCCACGGAGAAAAATAAAACCATTGTCAGTTGATCTATTTGAGAAACACAGACTCCCCCTGCCTCTCCAATTGCTTTATCAGAAGTAATTATTTTCCCTAAATCTCTCCAGCATCTGTCAGGACACAGGCATCTGCCTATGTGATGAACTGACATTGGTGTAAAAGGAAGGAGAGGGGACTGGATTCTTTAGGACATTCAGAAACTCACTGACTTGGGGTTTGGGAACCTTCCTGTCTCAACCAGAAATGAGCAGCTTTTCCTGGCCTGCAGAAGTTCCCTTTCAGCCCTGACCTTAGAACCGGGTCCGGGAAAGGCTGCGGGGCTCGTCTGCTGTGCAGCGACTCCATGAGTGGCCGGAGCGGGAGGTCCCCAGCGGCCTCTGGAGAGGGGCAAACCCGAAGGAGAATATCCTGGATGCATGGCCTCATGTTTTTTGGTTTCTCTGAAATGACATGTTGTGATGAAATAGTGAAATGTTAAACATGATCATTATAGTTAGCAAAGGGAACGTCATGGTCGCAATGATAGTAGGCCTCACAGAGCTGCCACTGGCCCCTCACCTAGCGATTCGCACCCCGCCCTGAGCTGGGCGTTCAGCTGGCCGTCTCGCACCTGTCTAGCCTTACCTTCCTGTGACCACCAGACTCACCTGGGAAATTCTAGGCAGGTCGTGTGCAAAGTGAATGGACATGAGACTGTCTCCTTATCACTGGGCACAATTGGCAGGCAGGCTTACCCAGGAAGTAATTGTTTTACCTCTCTGGTTTGTGGAAGTAATTGTTTCACCTCTTTTTCTTCCTACAGGAAGACTGTATCGCTAGATACAAGTTGCTGGTTGAACTGGTCCAAAAGAAAAAACAAGCTAAAAGTTGAATATTCTGGAAGATGATGTTCACCTTCATTTTCCAAAATGAGTATTTTAAAACTCTTATGCAGAAATTTGCATTTTGTACCTCAGCATTCTATGAATCATGTGCCTTAATAAAAAAATAATAAATGTAAAGTAAATGTTGTGCTCCACTGTTTAAACAAATAGTGAGTTAAAGGAGAAAAAGAATTGGGGTATTTTACCACTTATTCTCTCATTACTACCAACTTTACTTTCATGGGGAACAAACCGAATAGTGCCTTCCAGCAATCAGACAAATACATGATTTTGAAGGAACAGATGAGTAGGCCAGCGATTTTCAACATTTTTCATCTCGTAGCACATAAACTAATTACTAAAATTCTGCAGCACACCAATATATATATAACATTATTTGCCGATCGGACAAAAAAAAGAAAAGGGTATTCTTGTGTTGGCTATTGCCATTTTTTTGACAGTCTAAGGGAAAAGAGGTCAGTGCCCCTGACTAAATAGCCAGGTGTTGCCCTAGCCAGTTTGGCTCAGTGGATAGAGCATCGGCCTAGGGACTGAAGGGTCTCGGGTTTGATTCCAGTCAAGGGCACATGCCCTGGTTGTGGGCTTGATCCCCAGTAGGAGGTGTGCAAGAGGCAACCAATCAATGATTCTCAACATTGATGTTTCTTTCTCTCTCTCCCTCTCCCTTCCTCTCTGAAATCAATAAAAATATATTACAAATAAGTAAATAGTCAGGGGTTGCATGTTTCAACAATTCTTGTGGCACACGGGTTGAAAAATCGCTCGACTAATGTGTAAAAATTAAAACCGAATGTGATTCTTTGACCAGAGAACTCCCCAGTTAATGTGTTTACTGGGCGTTTACTGGTAGCAGAGTGCAGGTGCCTCGGGAGAAAAATCCACCTTGGCAGTTAGGACAGTGGCTAAGAAGTGTGTGAGATTATCCTAGTGATATGTATCTGTAAGGGAAAAAGTCCATGAACGAGGACATAAATAAGGCAATAACCTCTGAGTTTGTTCTTGACTGATAGAATTTCCAGAGAACATGCAAAAAAATGTTTTTAAGAACTGATGAAATTGGGTCTTAAGTTAAAAATCACTATTTTGTCCTATTAATTTTTTTTAAATATGTATTTATTGATTTTTAGAGAGGAAGGGAGAGAGAGAGAGAGAGAGAGAGAGAAACATTGATGAGAGAGACACATCTATCAGCTGCCTCCTACACACCCCCTACTGGGGACCGAGTCCACAACCTGGACACGTGCCCTGACCGGGAATCGAACCCGGGATCTCAGTCCACTGAGCCATACCAGCCGGGCGGTCCCGTTAATTTTGATTCAACTTTTCCTTACTGTTTGTGTTTAAACTGTCACCGTCAAGCTGAGTGTTGCTGTTTATATTTTCTATCATTTGCTCAAGGCTCGGAAACAATTTGCTAAGCGCTAACTGCCTAAACTTAAACCATTCAGTTCACCAAAACACATTTCAGGGAAGCGATTAGATAAAATATCTACAAAGGTGCCACATTTCTGTAAGGATGAAAACCAGATTACAGTTTCCCTCTTTTCCAGTTCCTCCCCTAGAAAACCAGGGATGATGGTAGCATTCATCACCCTGCCAGCTGAGCCCCCCATCCACCCCCCACCCCCCCGCAACCCCTCACGGGGGGCCTAGCTCCCTGCATGGACTCCTGGCGTATGGGGAGCTGCCAAGTGTATGCAAAATCCCTATTTCAGGTGTGTAGTTCCTGGAGAGGAAGCACGTCTTTCACTAGGTGCCCAAGTGTCTCTCACCCAAAAAGGTGACAGCCTGGCTGTGGTGGTTCCTCTGCTGCAGCCCATGCAGGGCCGTGGGGCACCAGGGGGGCTTCAGACTTGGACCCAGACACAAGGCCCTGAATTCAAATCATTTCCTACCTTCAAATGCAGACAGGAACGTCTGAGCTGCCTCAGGAAAAGGTTTTCCCTTTAGGGCAGCGGGTCTCAACCTGTGGGTCGAGGCCCCTATGGGGGTCGAACGACCCTTTCACAGGGGTCGCCTAAGACCATCGGAAAACACATATATAATTACATATTGTTTTTGTGATTAATCACTATGCTTTAATTATGTTCAATTTGTACCAATGAAATTGGGGGTCACCACAACATGAGGAACTGTATTAAAGGGTCACGGCATTAGGAAGGTTGAGAACCACTGCTTTAGGGGGCTGCCTGGCCTTGTTTCCTCAGAGAGGACGGCAGAGTCAGAGCCCCACGCGAGTCCTGATCAGGTCTAGTGAGCAAGGGGGACCAGATGGAGAGAGAGTGCAGGGTCTGGATGGCTTGGGGCTGGGCAGGTGGCTGGGCAGTGAGAGAAGGAGCCGTCTCCCGGGGTCTGGGCAGCACTGGCCTGGCTGCAGGTACCTCACCTACGCCCTCCTCCACCAGCCCCCAGCCAAGGGCTCCCAGAGCCTCTTCCTGAGGACCTGGCCTGTGCCCTGTAGTAACTTAGATTGTCTTTCTCCACTGGGCAAGGTCTTACAATCAGCCAGGTCTTTAAACTATTTATAGCACCATTTTCAAAACCCATTCACACACTCTCTCCTCTATCCCCAGGACACCCCTGACTGGTTGGACAGGTTCTCTCCCTGCCAGGTGCTGCCAGCCGCTCCAGAGGGAGCTGGGCTGTGTGGGGAGCTGCTGCTGCCTCACGTACTTGGCAACAGAAGGGGCAGGAGGGGGTGTCATCGGCAGACCACATTGTTTAAATCCCCAGCAGGGAGGGCGGTTCTGTGAAACTGGCTCCGGGAAGGAGGAGCAGTCCTACACCCCTGTTTTGCCGGACTGATCCCCAGGTGCCTGCAGACACTGCCTATGCAGCCCGAGGTCTCTGGTCTCGCTGGAACCCACAGCCAGGGGCCTCACTCTTTAACCGGCGTGTTTTCAAATTCCCATCTCACTTTTAGAATAAAGTCACAGGCAGCTCTAATATTTAAATTGCGGTTTGAATTGTGCTGTCCTATATACATGGGGTGACGTAGACCCCAAGGGGCCGGAGACAGCCCGCTCACTGCTCAGGGTGTCGGCCGCATGCAGTCTGGTCCCCTCCGGGACCCTGCATTCCCGCCCCGGAGGACGGGCAGCTGAGAGAGTCCACATTCTATTTGCTTTTGGTTTGGAAAGCCCCAAAGATGGAGGGGTTTGCTGACCCTGACCCCCAACTCCTCCTGAGGCTTCCACCCCACCCAAGGGAAACTGAGGCACAGAGACCCCCGCCCTCCGATCTCCTGCAACCGGCTCTTCCTGCCGCCACGCTCGCAGGCCTCCCGCAGCCCAGCCCAGGACGGAAGGCCCGAGGGCGA